GGCGGATATGACCAGGGGCCGCCAGAAAGGGTAGTTTGTAAGTTACATGAAGAGGTTGTATTTGTTTAATTTAGAATGACTGCTCCAGATCTTCAGCTTGTTTGTTGTTTATTTCAGTATTGGGAGAGTTCATGCATCCGTGTGAAGATGACATTGTCTGTAAATGTAAAACAGAAGAAAATAAAGTGCCGTATTTCAACGCCCCAGTGTACTTGGATAATAAGGAACAGATTGGCAAAGTGGATGAAATCTTTGGACAGCTGAGAGATTTTGTATCCTTCAAAAGACATGTGACGTACACTGTTTGTTTTTTAAAGGCTGATTGATTATTGAAGGGAATTTCTCTAGGATTTCAAGGCTTGGATACCAGTTGGATGTGAACAGTCATGAGTCCAGCTGTAACTGTTGGTGTCAGTAGGTGCCTCATTCCCATTAGGTGTCTATCTTAAAGCTTTATTGGTATGACAGAGTACCTTCTGTCAGGTAGAGGTTTTCAGTCAGTACCAATGCTGGCAGGTGTCTTTTGGTTCCATGGTGGTTTGAGATGTTACTTTTTCTAGCTACCTGACTAAATATTCTGCTATGGGTTACTCATAACAGAGTTGGGGTCAAGGGAGCGAGGGTTTTTTTTGTGCATTAGGGGACCTTGCTCGACTTATTACTTAATTATAAAGGTGAGTTCCTGCTAGGATGTCCTGTTGCTCATTTTCCAGCTTATTACTTAAACTGCTAATAAAAGTGGACGTATGCTAGGATCTCCTCTTGCAAAGCAAGCTTGTAGAGACAGAGGTACTGGGCCTGTTCTGTTATCACTGCCAGGTTGACAGAATCCATGACAAAAGTAGAACAACTGGGTGAGTAACCCTGTAACATGGCAGTAAGATTTAGCTGGTGTTGGTTGAGCATCAGTAACTTGCTGCATGCATTTTTATCTCCCACATCAAATGTGAAGTGAAATGTGCAGGTTTAAATCACTCTCACGCTTTGAATGTATTAACTTGCAGATTTACTTTTTGTATCAGAATTATTTGAATTTCAGAAAGTTGTTTTCTTCCTACAATAATGTGTTAAGAAAATACATTACTGGCTTTTGCAGCTCCTTGCTTTGCATTTTAATCTAGAGTTTTAATTAAGCGGAATTAGCCAACAGCTCTTTCTGGTCTTAGGAACTGCATACCGAAGTCCTTGCATACTGCCGAGGCAAGGGGTTTGTACAGGGCTGCATGTGGGGTTACAGAGGGTGTCTGCCCCTTCACTGTAGGATGAGGCTGGGCGTGCGGTTAGTCACATAATCAAAATCACTATTTCTAATGTTTTATTTCTGCTGTGTTCCTTAAAGAAACTAACAGTATTTTTCAGTGAAACTGTCTGAGAACATGAAAGCCTCTTCATTTAAAAAAATGCAAAAGGTGAGCCAATCTCAATAACAGAATTCTACTGTATGTCATCAGTTAGACAAGTTTACTCTATGTTATCAGATAGTAAAAACTTTTATGAAGTTTTTTTTAACTTTAAAAGCTAGTTGTCCTTCGTAAACATAAATATTCATTTCCTCTTCCTTTTCACTTCTGTGTCTGGCATGTTCTTCCTTCTCCCTGTCCCGCAAAAAAAGATGCAACAAATGAAACTCATGCACATACAATTTCTGTTTTAGTAACTTTATAACACTGTGATTTATTTCCTGCATGCTTTCTTTATTGGCCTATTTGCAGAAGACAATTTGATATAAAGGGTTAAGGCCAAGTGGTGGATATTTGCAAAGGGAGATAAAAATGTGCTCTTTAGCTTTGGTATTTTCGAAGCCTAATGGAACTGTCTTCCTACAGTTTTACATTGATCCAGCAAAGCTGCTACCCCTTCAGAGGTTTTTGCCAAGACCTCCTGGAGAAAAAGGTGCTCCCAGAGGAGGTGGTAGAGGAGGACGTGGTGCTGGACGTGGCGGAGGAAGAGGTGGTGGTAGAGGTACAACCCCAAGAATGAAAGCTGCAGAATGTTGGGTGTTGGGGTTTTTTGGTGTGGGGTAGCTTGTTTGGGTTTTTTTGTTTGGTTTTGGGGTGTGTGTGTGTTTTTGGTAAAGCTACAGTTGAGTATTTGGATATCAACGGTTGTATTGCAAAGAAAAATGTTAAGCATATTTCTGCTTGATGACTCAATGGAAGCAACAGTGATATCTTTGCAATGGCAAGACCTAGGCCTCTGTAGCTAGCTGAGTACTAGCTCCAAAGCATAGGGAGGAGAGTATCTCAATTTATAACAAAGACAGAAAGCATGACTTGCAGTGAAAGGTGTTGTAGATAATAAACTGTCAAAACTGTCTGTGAAGGCTGTATTTTTAGGATGTTCTAAAAATCTAGTTTGGACAAAATACTTGAAATGCAATGTTTTGAGAGAGGGGTGAATGACCTGTTAGATCTTATCCTTCTTTGCTTTTTGAACATCATCTGCAGTGTACTCCTCAATTAATGCAGAGGTTAATTTTTTCTTACATCATAGTTTTTTTCCCCTCTTCTCCCTACCCTGCCCCTTTGCATGGAGCAAGGCACAAGCAGTTTTTTGTTTTGTTTGTTTTAATGTTCTATTGGATTGTAAGTAATTAATTACTAATAGTAGTAATTATTTTTTTGCTCTCATGGAAGAAAGTTATTGTGGAGTTTTGTTAGTGTCTTTAGTATTTCGGACATTGTATATGAGATATTAAGCAATTTCTGAAATGCTGCAAATGATCCCTAGAAGAGACAAGGTACTAGTAACTGACCTAGCAACTGTCCAGCAATTGACAGTTTCTTCGTTTTTGTTGTTGTTTTCCTTTCAGAAGCTGTCAATGAAATAAGTTGTTATGCATAACAAAGAATTTGTGTGCTCCTCAAAGTGTAATTTCTTTCCTGTGTTCAGGAGGATTTGGAGGAGGAAGAGGTGGAGGAAGAGGTGGAGGAGGAGGAGGATTCAGAGGAGGAAGAGGTGGAGGAGGAGGATTCAGAGGAGGAAGAGGTGGTGGAGGAGGTTTTCGGGGTGAGTGTGTGGTTGTTTACATTTCAGTAAAAAAGAATGGCTCTTGATTTCTAAAGCTTTTGAATATTAAGCAGAATGTTATATTTTTATTTATAGATGTTTATAGTTTTATGCAAAAAATTTCTGTGCATCACAGTAGCTAGCTTAAACTGAAGCACAGTATTCTGCATTTTTTGATGCTTGTGTAAGACCATGCTAGTTTTTTGCATTCAAAAAGGACTGTGGGAACAGATAAGGATGATAAATTATTTTATCAAGTCATTTAGTATTATGTACACAAGTTATTTGCTTTAAATACATCTAAGATGTGATTTTTGTTGTATTTTTCATCCCTCTTAAAATAGGAAGAGGTCATTAAAAATGGAGCCATGAGCATTGCCCTGCTGTCTTACCATATCATCTGCAGAAGTGAAGAACAAGGAAAAATTTTTGTAAAGGAAAAAGTTCTTTTTATAAAGAACGTGAAGCTGTAAAATGACAATTATTGTTACGCTTAATGACTGTTGATCAGCACATGAGGAGAGCATAGCCCCAGGTGAAGAACTGAAGACTGCTCAGAGTATACTTGAACTTTTTTAGCTAAGCCAGGATTCAGTTATTCTTAAACTGCTTCTGACAAGTGACATAGCCAGTGCTTGACTTCATGTTGGAGTCTGGAGTAAACAATCATTTGAAATGTTATTTTAAAAAACCCTACGGGTTCACTGCATGCATATTTGTCAGTATGAACCTCTTACGTGTGTGTGACTGATCCCTAGGTTCTCATCCTCTTTTTATATTGAATCTTCTGGATTGCTCTAAAATGGACATGCTGTTTAAACAACCTTGGGAACTTTTTTTACAAACTAAACTTCAAAATTTTGTGTTGATAGAATTTTTTTATACTTAATAATGTGTAAAAGGAAAGGAAGATTGCCAAGGGTATTTTGTGGATTTTTGGGTACAAATCTCAATGAAAGGCGAAGGCATTAAGACATGTTCTTCTTAGAAGGTACTATCTAATGAATCAGAAAAGGTTAATGCTATTCTTAAGTCACCTAATTGTATCTAGTTACACTGATATTAAAGTTGCTAAGGGTTTTTAAACTGCACCCACCTCCCCCTGAGCCTGTTTCTCTTGAGGTATTGATGTCGGTACCGCACCTCCGTGGAGCTCTGAGCTTGCGTAGGGCTAAGGTGAGATAGCCCATCACAGGGCTCCTCTGCACACAGTGCTTTCAGTTCAATATTGCTTAAAAAAGGCGTGAAACAAGCTGCACGAGTCTTTATTCTCTTTAATTGGATACAATATGAGGATTGTTGAAAAGCTAGTAATGATTTCTTCTTAAGGATGGAGGAGAGCAGGGTGCCTCTCTAATTTTGGAAATCAAATAAGAATAGAAAAGTAGAATCTCTCTGGATTTCCTCTGGAGACAGGAGTCTGTTCACAGTCTCTCATACCAAGCACTTTGAAAAGGGATCTGTAGAATAATCTACATGCAAGTATTTTGAACATCTTGTTCAATGTGAAAGGAATTGATCATACTGTTACAGGAGATCTCTCCCTCGCTGAAGCAAGGCTGCGTTTGCCCAAGTTGGACAGTGTTGTACAGAGAGAAGCCATAAGAGCAAATATCTCCATAGAATTTTTTCCTCTTAATTTAATGGGATAGAGAGCACAGAACTAATATGCTCTAAATTAAAAATAGTGCCATGAGAAGCAATTTTTTTTTTCTTTTTTTTAAACAGATAGGAAGCTGCAAATGCCAGTGGCAATGTGGCTCTGCACCAGGGTAATAAAGCAGTCTGCATTCGTGGAGCATGGTTTGGATAGGGAGGAAGGTTTCAGACAGACAGCGATACAAAACTGTTGTACTGCTGGATGTTTTGCTGAGAATATCTGAGCATGGACCCAGGACATGTTCAAATCGGGGTCAATCAAGCTTTACACATTTCAGCAGGCTGCGAGCAACAGCTGTGGCAGCACGGGGATGGTTCATCAGCAGAGCTGTTTCACCAAGATAATCAGAAGGTGCCAGCCTGCCCAATTCAACAAATTCTTCATTTTCTGATCAACGCTGTAACACTGCAGCTGTGCCCTCCAAGATAATGAAGAGCTCATCTCCTGGCTCTCCCTGGACTACCGTCTTTTGCCCATCCTCAGACTGTACTGGTTCCAATGCATCAGCTACAGTGAGATGCTCTCACTTGTCCAGAGATTCCAATATAGATACTTACTAAGGAATTCCTCGTGCATCTTTCTTGAAGTACTCCCCATCAGGATCCCTCTATAGCTATCTCTGTCAATGCCCCACAACTTCACATTCCCGAAGACTATGCTCCTCCTTGCTGCTGCAGCTGCTAGAAGCTGCCATGGCTGGTACAGGGACAGCAGCAACAGCTTATAAATGGGCAGTAAGATATGTTGATCCCAGGATCAGCTGGCGTGGGCTCCACCAGGCCCTCACCACTCCCTGCCCATCCACGCCCGGCTGTGGCCTCGGAGCTGCCCAGAGAAGCTGTGGATGCACCATCCCTGGAGGGGTTCAAGGCCAGGCTGGATGGGGCCCTGGGCAGCCTGCTCTAGTGGTTGGCAGCCCTGCCCAAAGCAGGGGGGTTGGAACTAGATGATCTTTAAGGTCCTTTCCAACCCAGGCCGTTCTGTGATTCTATGATTGAACTTTTTAATTAATGAATGCAGCAACTGGCAAATGAATTATATTGGCCTTCTGCTTAACAAAAAGAAACAGGTAATTTGTCAGCACCAGGATTGGACAGTTGCGGGTTGTTTTAACAAACATGACTGTTAGTTTGAGTAGTCTCTGGAGCAGTTCTTGAAACAAGGTAGCAAAGCAACTGTTAAGAATTCTATTAAGTCTGAAAAGATGCTGCATAGGATAATAGATAAAAATGTTCTTCAGCTTTAAAAGAAGAAAGCCACAAAACATTGGAATTTCTGCTAATATGCTTTTTGAGAAGAAACTGAGGCTGCTGTTCAACTGCAGCAATCAGGAATTGAGGGATACGGATTATTTTCCTGGTGTTGCTATACACGTAACTTTAACCAGTTCAGTTAAATCCAGACCTCTGAAGATGGTTAGACTTTACTTGCTGTGACTGTCATTACTTTTGTCATGTTTGTAATTGGATCCTCTGCTATGCTGTATGTCTTTGCTGATGCTTCAGTTGCTAGTTGTGGGTGTCTGACTTAGATCTTTCCTTATTCTTCTGGCTTTGGAAGACTAACACAACACAGTCCCCACTCTTACACCCACATTCGTGCTCTGCTTTACTATTCTTACTTTACGGACATACTTTTTCCCAGGATACCAGAAGACTGTCCTACCATCACCTGTAAGTTGCGCGGTGCAACAGCTGATGTTTCAGTTACATGAGGCACCGTCGCGCAGCACTCAAGAAGCGTATGCTTTGAATCACACAGCAGGTGGAGCAAGGAGGCAGCCTGAAGCCATCGCAAGGCCAAAGCAAAGACTCTGACGTTTGTGCACAGGGGAGATAGACAAGTGTCCATTGCAGCTCTGGAGGGAAGATTGGCCCTGGGATTGCAGTCCCATCTGAGAAATGTGTGAGAAGGATTATGGCATGCCTTATGCATACAAACAACATTGGATGGGATTTTCTAATTAACAGTTTAAATTAGTAAGAGAAGAAAAAAAGTAATTTATTAATTTGTTTTCCATTGGGTTTGAACCCTTTGCACAAGAGTAGCAGGAAATTCTGCCTTATAGAGCCCTCCAGTGGTGATGTGTTTAATAAACATAGGAAGGGTTTGGTTTGGTTTTTTTTGTGCAGTTAGCACTGAAAATAGCAAAGAGATTTTGTTTTAGTGTTTTCTTTTGGGTTTTTTTTAATGCAAACGGTAAGTTTCTCTACTCTTCACTTGTGGGCTGAAATATACTTTACACATAACTGAAAGCAATTTGCTGAACCCTGTGGGAGTTTTGCATTGCCCCATATCTGTACGGATACTACAAATTGAAGAACGGACTTAAATAGAAATTGCATTTTGTTTCTACTGATTTGGGACAAGTGGTAAGGGAAAGCGTCACTTGAGGCCCCTGACACTAGTAATATGACCTGTTATTGGAGGGTAACAATGGCCTGATGTTTTGGATTTTTTTTTTTTTTTAATGCCAGTATTAAAAAGCAATGTGGTGAGCAGTGTCTTATCTGGTTTAGGAACTGTGTTTCCAACTTTCTGGATTATTTGCATACTTTAATTCGTGGTTTTATCTTTTTGGCTTTGTTTTATGAGCTGCAGTGTTCTAGAAAAAATTACTAAAATTACTAAATTACTAATTACATTTAGGTTCATGATAAGTAACGTCTGCCTTTAGTTTTGACTTATTTATATCAATTCCTGTTGCTGTAAAATTAGCCACATTTAAGAGAAGAGGAGATGGCAACAGTGTGATGGTATATAAGGTGAACTGCGTGTGTTAGAAACTTGCGTTTTAACCAAAAAGTGTGTATAAAATCTGTATGGTCTCATTAACTGCTACTCTAACTCTGGGATCCTATCTGAATAAAAATAGTAATGCTTTGCTTTTCTGAGACATTCAGTGTGGCAAGCTCTGACTTCTGCGGAAGCTGCAAGATCTGAGATGCTTTTGAAAATCTTGCCAAAGTTTCAGGGGGAGAAAGCAGAGATCGAATGGTCACTATGCTTTTATCTTTGAGGCAGGACTATGGGGCACTGAGGAAGTGGCTTCATTGCCAAGCAGATCAACTTTCCTTTCACAAACCTCCCACCCTGTTCCTGCCTAATCCTCTTCTGACAGGAAAATACCGTAATAATACAGGCATCCTGGGAGCTGCAAGTGAGCGTAGGTCTGTGGCATTAAAGAAAATGTTTGCTGGTAGCAGTGTGACAGATGATTGTCTGTAGTAACGATGACTAAATGTAATGACTGCACAACTTTTATATCAACATTTTCTTACCTTTACATTCAAATGGGGAAAAGCCGAGGAGTGGGAGGGAATGCTCTGTGAGTGTTGCGTGGGTTAGAGAAGAGAGAGCTCTTAGGTGTCCTTCCTTTCCATGGTCTGGCTGTATTCCTCAATACCGCCTGTGTCACTGCACCCTCATTGCTGTTCAGAAGACACAGCCCTAGCCTGGGAGCCTGCTTGACCTGCCCGTGAACCACATACACCTGAAGAACCACTGGTTGCTCCTCCTTGGCACTCTTATACCCAGTATGAGTACAAAACTGGAGGCAAAAACTGTGTGAAGGGGAGCTGGTGGGAGCATATAAGCTCTTCATCCAAGAGTTTGTTGCAGCTAATATTTGTGTAGGATTTTTTAAAGGTCTTTAATTTGCTGTACTGCTCGCTCATCCTTGCAGAGAAGAAAACATGAACTTCTGCTGCTCAAGGGTTTGGAAAATACTTAATAATTTTGGGCCCAATAACATGCTTAGGAAATTTTTCCCAAAGAAAGCTTATATATGTGTGTTTGGGAGAGGGAGGGTGTGCAGACTTGTAAGGCATGTTCAACAGCCTTCTTCTGCAGACCAGGCTATTTTGGAAATGTAGCGATTGAGTTTTCTGGAAGTCATGCTTCACTTTAGAAAATACTGGACTATGTTCTTCCTTTGTCTGTGTCAGCTTGAGATTTTAAATCAAACTAAGAATCTTGAAGAAGTAGAACTTTAAGTATTTGAAGGGATGGACTTCAGTGTAAGCATATCCTGCTTTTTAAATAAATTGACATTTATATCTTCATGTTGTGCTGTGGTGATGATGGGAATTAATTCCAATCTGGGCTGATGACCAACTGACCTGAGCCAACTTTTGTTGAGGTTTCCAAAGCATTGCACAAGAAGTTTGAAAGGAAAAGTTTGGGGGCATGTGACAGTTAATCTCTTTAAGCAGTAAGAACGAAGTTTAAGCATACTGTTGGAAATGTACTGGGTTCTGTGCTGCTCTTTGTTTTAGTTAACAATCTCCCGAATAGATTTGGAGTGTAAACTTCTTTGCCCTTTAGTCCAATAAATGGTGCTTGGAGTTTGTTGGTGGTGGGGGCAGCTCTCCCTACCCCACTTTTTTTTAATTGTTCAGTGAGTCTGTTGCATAATAGAAAGAATTTGCCTGACAGGGCTTCGTAGTGTTTCGTCGTCTTGATGAATTCTTGCAGAGGATATACGACAGTCTCTTTTGTCCAAAATGCATTGGAATGATTCCTCCAATTCCTCAGAAAGTGACAATGAAGCTCATTCAGCCTTTACACAGACTGAGCACAACATAGTTGCAGCTTACTTAATAACAGCAGGTATGGGCACTGGCAAATCCTTGTGTAGCTTTTTCAAATAGAACTGTACATCTGAATGCTCATTTTGTATAGTGACAGCGGTGACATTTCAATTTGTATTACACAAATGTCTGATGGCTTTTCTCCATGGTTTACTGACAAGTTAGCAATCAGCAGGCTGACTGAAGTGTGCAGAAACATCTACGTTTTCTGCTCTATATTTGCAGGCAGTGTTGTGTCTCAAAAGATATATTGTGTTGATACGTAATTATAGAAGACAGTAAGAATTAATTTCTGCCAGCTTGCAAAAGAGATAAAAATAGGGCATAGCTATCACATCTCGCATTTTTCTGTGATGTGCTTGACGCTATCTTGAGATTTCTCTCGGGCCACATGTTTGTAGTAATATATGTGGAGTCTGAGCATGTGAGCGGGTGTCTGTTAGGGGGATGTAAGGGGAAGGGTTGGAATGTGACTTAGAGGGAGGGAGCTGGTCATTAATCAGGGAAGAGCAGACTCCAGTTGCAGCTGTATTTTTCACCGATGACACATGTTAGAAAAAGCATGCTGGAAGGCTTGACATCGTGTTCATTCCCTGTGACTGCAATGGCCTTTGGCTAAACTTGAATGATTACAGAATTAGTATGTTTTTTCCTTGAAAACTTTCTCATTGTTATAACCACAACTGCTTCAGTAATGTTTTTCTGAAGCAGAGTGCTATAGCAATGAAATATCAACCTGCCCAAGTATGTTAAAAAAAGACCTCCTATGCCTTTATTATGGAAAATTAAATCAGTTTGTAAATACTTTATTCATACACCCTACCATACATTTTCTATGTTATCATTGGCTTTTAAAATACTTTAAAATATCAATGTACTTTAGGTTTATATGAAATAGTATTGCTGATGGTCACATTTTATTTAGCTTATCTGAAGTGCTAAGTATCAATTTGCTGTTCTGGTAAGGATGGTATTTTTGAATGCAAAAGCAGTAATTTGTTTCAGGTTTTTAGAGAAATAGGTAGAACAGCTACACAGATCAGCAGGCTTGTTAAGAAGCTGTAGAGCTGGATGATGGTCAGGTATGGGAAGACTAGATAAACTCTGCAGTACTACCACATTATTTGCAGGTAACTGGACCTATTAGGTGCTGCAAATCTGTATCATACTTGTTATATTTTAATTAAAATTAATTACATTGTATGTAACAGGGCAGTCTTTTCAGATAGTTTGACCACCTGGTGTTAGGGATCAAAGCTATCATAGGTGATCAATGGGATTAGCCAGAATCAACCCAGCTCTTCTTCTTAATCTTGCATGGAAATTAAATGTCTTTTAAAAAAAGTTACTTTGTGGGTTGGGGTTTTTTTTAATTACTATTATAATTGAGGTAGTCTAGTAAATCTTTCACCTGTAGCTTGGACTTTGCTTTCTTAATGAGGAATGTTTTTGACAGTAGGGTCTATAACATCTTTGAAAGTATGATTGGTTGCTTTGTAAATGCCTTACCATGGCAAGGCTCACAGCTGGAAAATTTAAACTGTGTTAATAAGCAGATGTATAAGAATAAGAATGAAGTATAGGTACAGCATTAATCTTTATGCTTTAAAAGGTTTGAATGCTTTCTCTTTCTTTCACAAATAATTGCTTTGTTTTCTGAGAAGGAAGTCATTGTTAGGTATTGCAGTTTACAGTGGTCAGTGTATTAATTTTAGTGGTGCAGGAAGCAATACTGCCTCATGGATATCCATGGGGGGTTGGACATGAAGAAAGGAGAAGGGACTCTTTAGCTTTAGTACTATATTTCTTTATTACAACTCTTTGTCTACTGGCTGTTTCTTTTGTTGCCTGATAGTAGACTTCAGACACAGTTGAGTCAAGCCAGGCCAAAGAGGGTGCCACAGAAGCCAGCACTGTACTTGGTGGCTGGAGTGTTTGGACTGTAATCCTAGGTGCTTTTTGAATTTCTGCTCTGCTTGTTGTCATTGCATCAGAAGTCCCAGGTTCAGCAAAACACTCCACATCTGGCCCTTGCTGAATGCAAGTGCAAATCATCTAATTGGAAAAGCTTTTCTCTCCTTTTCAGGCGTCTGTCCTTTTTGTAAAATTGTGCTCGACTGAGAATAAAATTTGTTTAGGAGTTAGATATGACAATAGGCTGCATTTTCTTCTACATTGATATTAGTGGCTGATGTGCATCTTTTGTAAAGTTTCCCTTTTTCTGT